CTACACATCAGCAGTACAGTACGGATACAATGAATAACTATTTGTAATTTGTATTGTGTTAGAAAGAACTTGTTTGTAATGCTACTTTGATAGACATTCTACAAAGAAATAAACATTTCAGCATTCGAGAGAAAATACAGTCACTGATGTCCTTTTAGGTCGGTGCATCCAGACAGGTGATTTTATAACTAGGCTAGGCTACGGCCTAGTAGTAGTAGGAGGAGGTCCGGGCGGCCTCTTGCCAGGCCGTAGGCCTACATCTTTGTTCCTTCAGTCTTTAAAAATAGAATATTCCTATTAAACGTTCAGTTTGTTGTGTTTATGAGGGTCCATTGATTGAATGAATTCCTTAATTGTTCATACTTAATTTTGAATTTGAAGTAACTTTCTTCGGGTTGTAATTAAGCTTGTTTTACGGAAAGTCATTTTCAATTACAATTCAATTTTTATCGCGGTGCGCGATGTATTCCTTAAACAAATCAAGCCAAGCGTCCACTAATAGAAAAATTAGTGGACGCTGGGAAATAGGCAAATAACATTGAGAGTTACAGAGATTACGTCACGATTGACTTATAATAATTATTATTACTATTTAATAGGGTATCTTAAAAATGAGAAGATGAAATGTGCCGAAACATTTGAAAATCCAAAATCTATTCCACAAGAAATACATGTAGTACGCCCTCTATTTATTAATACATTATTTTCTAATTTGTACACACCATAGAGTTATTACTGTACTAGCTAGGGTGATAACTCAAATGCAATTAATCCTTAAAAATGCATTACACTAATTATATCGCATAATGGATTTCTAATTGGAAAACTAAAGTCTCATTTGGATGTTTGACGCTTGAGAGTTCAGTTCGAACTTTGTAGTTGTTTGTACATAATCATCATCGTAAGCGCCCTCTATAATTATCCATTACTTGTTTTAGTTGCCAAGTTGTCAGCCAGTGAGCTTTACTTTTTTAGAAATGTTACAAACGTTTTGTTTTCAAGATCCACCGTTTGCCTGCCCGCGTGATTTAGTTTTCATTGTAACCAACGTGTGCCCTTCTAGAGAGGAAATGGCCGAAGATGGCTTTTCAATTAAACAAAGTTCGCAAAGAAATTTCTGAATAGGTCTACCTACAAAATATAATGTAATTATTGTGCGCGGTCGGCGATTTTAAAGGCAAATTCGGTTATATATGTAGGTGTATGCCTACTTGCTACGAATTACTGTATATTGGCATTATTTAGGTGACAGCAGTTCGTGAATTTAATCCGTGATAATGACCCATTTGCTGCTTCATCAAGTTTCAATAAATATGCGCGCATGCGTATAGATGTGTTTGTATGTGCGCACGCGCTTATTAATTCTCGTGATGATCGCCCGTTTTCGAAAACTAGGTTTCGAATGACACTCTCTTTTTAGGCACATTCTATTAATAATGTATTCTGCCTCGACTTAATTGGTTCATAAGCCTATCCATAATCAACTATGGTATTCGCCCACATTGTCAGCCTTTTTTTGTATGCAATTGACAGACTCCGTTTATATCAACGCGTTACTAAGTAACGTAGCTTAAGCCACCTGTTTACCTGAATGGATCGATAGAAATAGCTGTCAATCTCATTAAAAAATATGACACCTTTAGTCATAAAAATGTTATTAATCGACATTATGTCAGTCTTATTAGCGTACCATTGCAACTAGGCTTTTATGAGCTTCACTCTCTGGCGGTCTTTATAACACATACAGTCCTTTTCTGTCAATCATCACATACAGATTATAATATAGGGGTTCTTGTGCATATGGACATAGGCGGATTCAAGGGGGTCCAGTCGATGCGGTTCCTCTTCCCCTAAAGTTTTAAAAGTTTTTTTTTTAAATCTGGGATAAAAAAAATAAATAAAAAAAATAAAAAAAAAAAACCATGGTGGGGCTTAGGTGTTGGCTGGACCATCCATCTGTAAAATTGACCTTCTGGGCCCCCTCTATTTCGAATACTTGGATCCACCACTGGTAAGTGTAAAGCTGACCACAAAAAGTCTCCAAAAGTAGAAGAATAGCAAGAGGGTAAAACAATTAGTGTTAAAGAAAAATGGTCAGTGGCATCGCGTGGTGCGCAGCGTCAGAAACGGTGTCAAAACGACGCGGTAGTTTAAGATGGACAGCGTCTCAGTGTCGAGCAAGCTGTATAGAGCAATGGGTAAGAAACAATCATATGAATTAAATTAAATAATCATTGTTTAATGACATCATCATCCTTGAAATCGTCGTCGATCATCATTATTATCAATATTATAATTATAAATATTAATGTCACTCATTACAATAATCATTATATTATTAAGTTATTGTTTTTTTTTTTTTTTAGTTTAATTTATACAATAATAACAATCCTAATCTATTCCATAAGGGCTACTACCAGAATCCATCGTGAATAATGACTAAACAGTGATTCTGTTATTAATAATACCTGTCCATTATAATCAATTATTGCTAGGTGGTGGTGTCTTTGCGTGGTGTACTTGTATTTCCATATAGATCATACTGGCGTTCACCGACAGCCGCTTCACGCTTAATCGATCGCAGATGCTAGTCGTAGTACAAATAATAGAACGGTATATCGTCTGCTGAACGCGAGATAGCAGAGATGAAGAAAATACTCTCGATTTCCAGCTCTTTGGATAACGCCTGATATTCGGAGCGCACGTGTGTTGAGGAACAAGATAAATTTGCAGGGGATTCATTCCAAGTATATTTAGCACATATTAGCCTATTGATACAGTGTAGATGTAGCGATAACATCGTTCGAGGATCGAATTTACAACTTACATCGACCTGTTTTTCTAAAGAGCAATATCGAACAATCATGTTTATGGTTTGGTTGACTATTGTAGTTGCAGCAAATCACTATGTCGTTACTGCCACCACTGGTCCTGCTAGCTCTACCACCGCCGATGGGTTGCACATGGAACCTGTTCGCGACTGGGACGTGATTCTCGGTGGTGTATTTCCTATCCGAACCCGTGCTGAAAACAATACTTGTGGAAAGCCTAGCCTACATGGATTACAGGAAAAATATGCTATGATTTACGCTGTGAACAAAATAATTAATGACGAAAGCTTATTGCCGGGGCTACGGATTGGTAGGTTATTTTTTAAAATTATTTTACACTTAGGCCCATGCCTTATCGGCGTACAATGTGCAGTACTCCTACCAAAAAAGGCGGCCTCACACCGCCCCCTCCCCAGCAATTTGCGGAACAAAAAATACACTTTTATGAGTTAAGAATCACCTTCTGCAGTATATAACACTTCATTTCTCCATTTAGCGTCCCTCACTTTCCTTCCGTTTCTTCTCTCATCAACCCTCACGCCTACCATTAATGGTCAATTCAATGGTTGTGCACTTGTATAGCGCATATTAAATGTGACTCTATGTGCTCTCCAGAACAACAGAAAAAAAAACTTGTGTGGTTAAAAATAAAAGCAAACAGGAAGTGAAGAATAGAAAAACAACACAAAAGTGAAAAGAAATCGAAACGGGAGAGTGGAGGAAAATTAGATTTTGTCAAATAGGAATGATTTAAGGCAACGCTTCTAGATAGGCTATACGTTACTGTTTAATATTATGGGTGTCTGTGACTTTGAGCTAAAGTAATTCAATGATTCAATTGGTCCTATTTGGTCCTCCCTGGCGATCTATGTTAGGCCTATTTACGGTCCAGGACAGAATGGTCCGTCGGACCAATTCTCGGCAACGATTAACCCGCTATATAGGCTAGGTACAGTCTTATGTGCCAACTTCAGTCCGATTTGAGAAAAGGTATGAGGGTGGAGTAGCCAGGTTTCCCACCAATTTTGGCGGCCAGAATCCGCGTGGCCGATTTTCACCCGTATCTTACAGTAGCGTATCTAGCTAGAGAATTGAGTGGGGTTGGTGAATAAAGGGGTGTCGGCGAAGGAACTTCTTTTAAGCTTAGACATAAAGATAACTAAAAATGACGACGGTGGAATAGCTCGATGATAAAGTAAGGGACCCAGATAGCTGACAAATTAATGTGATATGAGGTGATTGTTAATTACAATTTTTGTAATTAGTGTAATTTTTTGATTCGAGCATTATCACGGGGTGGGGAATTCAATTGGGACAGCACGAGATCTTTTCACCACGCACCCCCGTAGACACGATAATGCGTAACATTATTGAAGAATTCCATCAAAAGACGATGGGCTAGGCTACAAACTGCATTACAGGTCTCATAGCTACTTGATGGTAGGCCTACAGAACCAGTGACAAAAGCTCTTCATGGTACCTTGCACTCACAATTTACCACCAGTTTATACCGGAGGCTTTATGTCAAGTCTTGACACAATACATCTGCTCCTTAGCGCGTCCTGATTATGAAAAAAAAAATTTGACTAAGCCTAATTGAATTACATGTCAATTCAATTTACATCGAAGCATAATTTCAAAGTATTCACATTCTGAGAAGGATGTTATTTCCTTTTGTCTACTTATTTGATATATAAAGCATACTTGGATAGGATGTATCATCTGTCTCTTATACACATCTAGATGTGTATAAGAGACAGGTGGTGTACTTGTATTTCCAGGTTTCGACAGCTTACTTAATCAGTTTTGGGGGCTACTAATATGTAAAACATACACATAAATTTTTTTTCTCACCGCCGAATTGTGGTTTTCTCCCCGAAAAGGGGGCGGGGAGCAAAAACGGTGGAAAGGGGGAATTATATTAAAATTTAAGTCTGAGAGTGCCATTTCCGGCCTTATAGAGGTGCTATAATCTTACGTTTTCAGCCATGGGAGAGCTGAAGTGGCCTTCACCTCCACCTTATTCACTGACCAGCCATTGCAATTGTTAAATTTTGTGTGCCACCAAGTTTCTTGATTTAGTTTAGAACCTGTCTCTTATACACATCTAGATGTGTATAAGAGACAGATTATTATTATTATTCATGCATTCTAATGATGGTCTGATTATGGATGATAATAAATATTTGAGAAAAACTTATGTTCCTATCGGGACATATTATTCTCACTAATATCTGATTGTCTGAAAATAAGACGACAATTTTGTGCAGCGTTGGAACCTTTAGGTTAAAACTTTTATAAATGATTTTTTTAAATTATATTAAAAATAACATGTATTGCATTGAATCAATATGCCTGTTTTTAAGTTTTTATCAGAATATTGACTGGTATTAGTAATATCACTAATGTAATTTGTTCATTTAAACCTTTTAAAATTATTCGTTCAAAATGGATGACATTTTTTATCATAATTTTCTTCATCCTAATACTCCATGCCCTATTGCCCAGACTCGATGCAATTGCCCGACTGCCCTGATACTCTGTTGTAAATAGTAACGATTTTAGTATGATTCTTACTAAAATAACATTGTAAATGATCTGCAACAGTATGATGTTATTTTGCCGGAGGACACCACCTCATTCGGTATATTCGTGATTGTTATAATAATATTATCATTATTCGCATAATGTTATAATCATGTTTAATGGGTAGGCCCTATTTTACAAATCTTCCCAGTTTCTAAATGTCCGTCTAAATATAACTGATTCAATCATTTTTCTTCTATGTTTTTAATCTACTTTTAAATTCTGAACAATACTTTTACTGTAGAATGTATTTTGTCTCATAAAGCTTGTTTAAAGAATATGTTTGAATTCATAAGTAAATTTTACCATGTTTACGTGGAGCATCTATATAAGTATAAATATTATTGATTAATCACCGGATCAACACTCTTTAATGGACTTCATGAATGTGTACTAGGACCGTAACCAGCATCTACAAAAAGAGAATTCTGAACATTGGGTTAGGGACCTCTCACCTAAAAGCTCAAGTGTTTAGATTTTAAAGTAGAATATATTGTAATTATCCTACAAAAGCAATTATTTTCAATGTGAAGGAAAGGGGAAAATACATCCAAAGTGGGAACGATTGTTTGGGTATCTTTGGGCTATCGAGTAAAGGGTTTGCTGGATTAAGGGGAGTCTCTAAAGAAAGGGGGTTTGCCAGAACCTCCAAAAACCCCTGGCTACGGGCCTGCACAGCCTGCATTATTGGTATTAGTTCACAATACAGATCTTTATTAGATTTTTTAAGGATGTGTATAATGTTGAATATTAGACGTGTGATTTGCGATAGTTTGCTGCTAATTGGTCAGCTTGAAGATGCTCGCCTTCAAATCCAGGGTCCTGTGTTCAAATCCTAACCCTGTGTACAAAACTTATGGCAGAACTCTTAGAAAAAGAAGTAGACTCGGACACTCTTCAAATCTGACAAGTTCACGTTTTACGTTGTAATAACGTTGAAGATTTTCAGTTTGTTTTGTAGAAACATAAGTACGTATATGTATATGCTAATTTGCAAACGTTGATGCTACGTTTGTGTTGTGACAGCCTAACCACAACATTCGTTTGCGAATGTGTTTGCAAACGTAAGTAACGTATGTGCGTTTTTAATTTCGTGGGGGAAAGTTACCCGGCTTGCTTGCGGATGAGCACAAATAGGCCTATCCTCATCTAACTGGGCATAGTTAGATGATAGTCATGCACGTGTAGAGAGTAAGAATATACTATAGACAAAGTCAATAACACAAGGCATCTAGACAATTTTTTTCATTCGAGCATATATTTGATTTGATTAATTTGATTTAATAGTAAAGGTTGCGATGAAAAGAAATTCAACGGCAATTCAAGCTACTGTACCGTCGGTATATACTTGTTGTATACTCGAACTTGAGTACATTTTTCCCTTGTTATTTACGACGATCGATAAAAGAGCTTTTCTTCCGTCAAGAGTGATTTACAGTACGTGATCAATTAGTGTAAATGTAGGCTAATTAGCTGCCTTAAGTAGCATCTTGTGCCAGGCCTACTTTTTATTTGTGAACTGCGCTCATAAAATGGAATCTCGAAGTCGACGCGACTGTGAGGTAATAGAAAAACTCTCGCAATGAGGAATTACAAAACGGCGTGGGCTAATTCGCCAGTCTGTATACGAGTATACTTCACTTTTAATAGGCTGTGGTCACGTCATCTCATGACGCGCCGCATTACTTCAAGCACAGATTACATTTTCAACAGGGACTAAGAAGAATGAGTTATTGCTCTAAACTTATTTTTAAGTCAATGAATGAAACAATCGCTTTATTCATTAAACTACTCCTAGGTACATCTACCACAGATTTTTATAGGCCTGAATATAGATGAACGTCGTACGTTTTTACGCGTTGTGTTGTCCCGTCTGCTCAGTTGCTGGGAAATTAGAACGAGTTCGATTCCGTATGAAATTCTCTTTTTGCTATTCAGTTTCTCTGATTGAATGATTTATTCATAAGGAAATACGATGGAAACAAATATATTCTTTAGACACCTTATTTACAGACGACACATAAAACTGATAACATATTCAATTGCATAAATTGTCAAGATGCCGGCGATATATATTACGTTTGAGCTTAAGCCAGGTACACTCTGCCTCGTATGACATTCGACCGATGTGTCCATCGTCTGTTTCGATGAGCGCTTGATGACGCAACACCGTCTGCTGCGTCGATGCTAGACTGAGCGGATTATCGTTAAAAACGATCCGAGAACGCAACGCCACGATGTGCGCGCGCGCAACGGATCGGTTTTAATGACGATCCGTTCAGACTTCCACTAACAATCAGCAGACGGCGTCGCGTCCTCTATCGCTCACGGGGAGCGGAGTTGGATTCGTCGTACGACGGTCATAAAATCGTCGTTACGATCGGCGCGGTGAGCGGCGGCTTTACGTTCTTCATGGGTCGCGTCGGCCGACACCGTCAAGTGCAGTGTATATTAAAAACTATTACCGGTATTTAAGTTGGTGCTTTGAAACGATATTATATGATCCATCTCATGTTGTTTTCCTGTTCAGGTGAATTCTAATTTCGTTTTGAAGAATGTAATTAGTCCTAAAGCGGTTATTAGTCACGGTTTGTATACACTCTTATTGATACATTGGTGCAGTAATTCGATACCTACTTGAATATATATCTGCGTACTAAGACATGGGTGATCCATCCTGTATGCAAAGCTAATCATTTGAGAACTTCGATGATCCATAGCGTC